CCGTTTAATATAACTCACCAGTGCTGGATGTCTACATTACTTTTGTCTACATGCCTACATTCTGATTAACCCATGCGTAATTCTTTCCCAAAGAAATAATAACTTTTTACAGAACAATTTTCACTAGTTCAGCTCTCCAATGCCGAGGTATAATATTTTCAAGTTTTCAGTATTTTATATTTTATCTATAAGAGTAAATAGTATATCACACAAGGTTATGTCTAGCTGTTACATAAATTATAATTCCCTGATTGCACATATAATTTAACCGAACGCAGACCTGAGTTAAATTGGACCAAGTATCATTGTAAACGCGTTGCATATGGTTTACAAGAATATAAATACATATAAATTGTCGGCAATAACATAATCACCGTGGAATAGTATTATTTTGTGATTGGTAAGCTGCCATTTAAATTCAGAATACCTCTCAATATGGGTAAATGTAGTCCCCTCCCGTATACACACATTTACATATATCACGGCTCGAAATTAATTATTTAACGTACTGAAACCAACTCCTAAAATACAGAAAAATCAATAAAAAAAATAATGTGCTGTAGCATTCAGCAGTTTATATGGAAGTGTCAATGATTGGTCAGAATTACGACATTCCAATATAAAGAAATGGTTGGGGTAAATTAAGTACTTTTTTATTATAGAGGAAGTGAACTTAATATAAGTTGCTCTACTAGTATTACATTTAACATTTCTGGAGATGGACTTGGCTTTAGCTGACTATTTTACACTATGCCGGAATAGATCCAACGTGGTGCACATTGTTAGAGACCAGCTATTGAGTAAAAAGTGTATGTATCCAACAGGTCGTTAGACTAACCTCAAATTAAATCTCTAGAACTTCTAACATCCGTTTCTCTGTCGATATATAAGCGCAGGTATGTTAGTTTTGATGAAATTTAAATATTAAAATGTTGCGATTGTGATTCACTAGTACTCTTACTACTGAAACATCAGTGGCCGGAAAATATAACTCTTTCAAAGCCAATTACAAGGGATGTGCTGGAATGATCATTGGACACAGGGAAGCGATGCAACTCGTGCACTACTGTGTAGAATCTTCTAACACCCCTTAAAACGTACAAAAGGCATTTCACTGAGGAATATTGACGTACCAAATAACGCTACAGGCTCATGCCGTTGTTCATTGTTTCTTTCACGATATTCACTTACTGGATCAGTAATTTTGACATCGCTATAGATTTAGTGTTTTACTTACTTGAGTGTTGAAATCTTGCTTCTAGGCGCTTGAAGGTGTCGTACTGCAATCGGCCAATTATAATCGCCAAGTACATGTTACATCGAAAAGTGGCACAGCGACTATATTGTATTTGGTCAGGCAGACCCAGACTTGCAAATAGAGTGATTATGCTAGAAGTAGATGTTCATTCGTGGGCAATCACGCTGGGTAGGCACTCATAGCTACTGGCTGAAGACACGGTTTTATTAATGATGGCTTCGCGTTAAGAACTTAATGTTTTGTACATGGAATTCATCATCATACCAATTACGGTGCAGCAGCAACAAGCTATCAACTGGGCGCGTTCGATTAGAATTTAAATATATACAGGATCGAGCATGTCAAGTGAGCATAATCGTGGTAGATGCAAATGACAGACGTTTTGGGAAGGGGGGACGTTTCTCGGCAACTGAAATATATGCATACCATGAACATATATTCGTGATATATGTTCTCTGAATATCAATTTGAGTCTCAGATACGTCTCCGTCCCTGCAGTTTTATTTTCTGAACGGACCTCTCTACATTGGCGCGTAATATCCGAGTACAAATAGTGTCGCCCGTCCCCTTGGTCAACCACTATAAATTTTAAGAATGCTTTAATGTGTTTTATGTTTACCAATAAATACCATGATTGCACTGAGAAGTAAGCGACTCTTGTAGTTATAACGCGGGACGTGAGATTATGATAATCACACTAAACACTGACATGCGCATACAATGTATCCTGCGACTTTTGAAGAAGTTCAACCTGTTACAGGAAATATCCCCACCATTAACAAAAACAGCTAAGAGCTTTATCATGCTGGACACTTTGAAGACCATTATTACTCTCGTCTGTATGCCTTATCAACTCCTTGGTATCAGAGGTAAGATTTGTACGCTCTGTTAGGGTAACCAGGGCGACGATAACAGTGCCATATTTGATTAAGAAAGGTAGGGTCATTTCACAGTAGCAATATATTAGTTAACGTAACTGTATATGTGTATATGTTTTTAAAAACTTGGCGTTCTATCTACAAACACTCATGTGAACCCATTTAAAAATATTTCTTCTATACTATGGTTGTGTTATGCGCACACTATTAAAAAGTCAAGACATGCGTCACACCCAGTCATTATCTCATTTGACTGGACCATCATGGACGTCCACGAATAAGCTTTGTTCAGTAGCACGTAATCTCGGTCGAGTTTTACAGCGCAATAACCTACACTCGAACCATCATGGCGTCAGCAAAACTTTGCCAGGTTAATAGAGTTTCATAAAGTGCTTCGTTTATGTTCTAAGGTTCATTCTAACTATAATAAAAATTAAATTTTGATACGCATTTACAAATCTGATTTATGTATGTAAATGTATTGTGAATCAGTCTTGAGTATTGTGAATCAGGCTTGAGTGTTTATTACCAATGCACACAGGTTCCGCTTCACATACAGTAATTACAATTCCTGAACTCTGACCTGTATGTGAACATGTTTACAGAGGGGACGTCCAAGGGAAATAGTGTGCGATAATACTTCAACAAAGATAGTGTCAACACAGGCTTGTATATCATCGTAAATAATGGTATTTATTTGTTACACTTCTGTGTGAAGATCAACGTTTCGAATGTAACTCGACTGTGAATATCAAAACTTAAGCATTCCATTGTTACCAGTGTATGGGATTCTGGTATTTAGTGCAGTGGAACTTGTTCAGCGTATAAAAATAGAACACATGGTCAAATTGTGGCTTATGTACTGGGGAAACATAATAAAGGAACGAATTTACCCGTGTACCTGTGGCTTCAGTGACGCAGTCAGATTTTAAAATTTACTTGCCATTCCCATCGTCACGTATTCAATTAAATGACCCATGAACTTTGAGGTTAAGATATTACACTCAGTACCACGAGATTGTGAACAATACACGGCATAAACGTAAGGACGTGAGTGGATGTAAAAACTATTTCGGCGGTGTTTTTTTTGGCCATTATATCATATCAACTTAACTAAAGCACCTGGGACTAGAGTATACAGAGTTCATAGATACATTGAACGATGAGGCTAATTTGCATCAGTATTTTGGCGTTCCGGGGTTCTTTTCGAGTAATTTAGTTGACAACAAAGTTGATATATGTAAAATTACAAATGATACAGATTCAAATTAGTGCCGTACGCGTTTTAAAGGTCTACATAACTTCCAGGTTCAC